TAACACATAATGACATAATCAACACCTACTGTGGTGGGCAGGCATCTGCACCTGCTGCTACCCATGCCTTTGCACAATACCATCCCTTCGGATGGGAATGGGGCCTGTGACCTGCTGCTGAAAGAACCTAGCAAAGGTGATGGATCTCACTGCCTTCATTACCTTACACTGCGTAAGACTTGGGCTTGCTAACTCACTCTAGAGAATCTCCTTGCAGGCTTGGGAAAGAAGGAAGCCGTGTTGGGGAAGCATTCAGGCAGCCTCCAACCAACACCCACCGAGAAGCTGCAACCCCTGGTGCTGCACCTGTGTGGGCTCTGCCCCAGAGCAGTCCCTGAGTGGAGTCAGGTTGAGTGTGGACCCTTCCTCCGTCGAGTCTGCAGATGAGAACACAGTCCCGTCACCATCTTCACTGAAGCCCTGTGAGACCCTAGAGGGGCACACGTAAGCCAGGCCACGGAATTGAGACGCAGCCCGTGTTGTGTTACAGCTGCTAAGTTCACAGTTGTTGCACAGCAAGAGATAACAAGTGCCACGTGCCCCCTGCTCGATATAACACACTTGACAATGTAGTTTCAGCCCTTGTGAGCCTTTCTGCTACAGACTGAACAGGATTTGGCTCCTCAAAACCATGCTGTCATTTCAACCTCTATGTCTGGGGCCGGCGTTGTGGCGTAGCAGGTAAAGCCGCTGCCTGTAATGCCAGCATCCCATGTGAGCCGTGGTTCCTGTCTCAGCTGCTCCACTTCCGATCCAGCTCCCTGCTAATGAACCTGGGCAAAGCAGCTTGGGCCCCTGCCACCCACGTGGCAGACTTGGAGGAAGCTCCTGGCTTCTGGCTTCGGCCTGGCCCAGTCCAGGTGGCCGTCTGGGGAGTGAACAGCAGATGGAATAGCTCTCTGTATTTGTCTTTCCTTCTTTCTCTGTAGCACTTTTTTTTTTTTTTGATTTATTTATTTGAAAGGCAGAGTTACAGAGAGGCACAGGCAGAGGCAGAGAGACAGAGGTCTTTCATCCGCTGGTTCACTCCCCAAATGGCTACAATGGCCAGAGCTGGGCCAATCCGAAGCCAGGAGCCAGGAGCTTCTTCTGGGTCTCCCACATGGGTGCAGGAGCCCGAGGACTGGGGCCATCTCGTACTGCTTTCCCAGGCCATAGCAGAGAGCTGGATTGGAAGTGGAGCATCCAGGACTCAAATGGCCACCCATATGGGATGCCGGCACTGCAGGCGGTGGCTTTACCAGCTATGCCACAGTGCCGGCCCCCCCTCTCTCTTAACTTCCAAATAAATTATTTTTAAAATAAATTCTGATGTCTGATGTTAAGAGTTGATGGACTGAGGGTGGACATATCATCATGGCCTCAGGGTGATGGGCCTGATGGGAGGTCTTCCTTTAGGTCACTGGGGGCTTGCTCTCAAAAGGTGGTTCTCATGGGAAAGTCAGTTGTTTAAGCCGAGTGTGCTTCCTGTGTCTCTCCCAGCTTCCCGCCTCACCATGTGATTGCTCCTTTGCACCTGTTCCAGCCTGGCCAGCCTCCACCAGACGCCAGACTAATGGGGCCATCTGACCTTGAACTGAGAACCTGTAAGCTGTAAGCTGGAAAACCCTTTCTCCCTGTCCATCTACCAGCCTAAGTCCCCAGCACACAAATCCCGGCACGTGAGAAGAGGCTGCTGTGGTCTGAATGCTGGTTGTCTCCCCCCAGTCATGTGTTGAGACTTAATCCTCCATGTGATGGTGTGAAGAGGCGGGGACCCATGGGAAATGATGGTTGGGGTTAGTGCCCTTATAAGGGGGTTTGAAGGGAGCGTGTTTACACTTTTGCCTGGTGAGGGCACAGAGAAGGCGCTGTCGATGAGGAACCAGCCTTTGCCGGACACCGAATCTGCTGGCACCTTGATCTTGAACTTGAAGCCTCCAGAACTGTGAGCACATTCCTGTTTGCAGATTACCCCGTCTAAGGCACTGTGTTACAGTAGCCCAGAGACAGGTCCATGGGTGCTTACAGGGGAAGAATAAAGAGCTGAAGACGTGGCACACGGATCAGGATGCTGCGTCGGCTTCCATCACAGAGACTTTCTCCAGGGCCCAGGGGACTGAGGACTGCTGGCCCACAGGTGACCCAGGAAAAAGCTAGGAGGTGGAGGCAGGGTTCTCTGTGGATGGGAACGCAAAGCTGGCTGTCCTGAGGCACCTGGCACTTGAGCAAAGCAGTGACCTGTAAGGACACATGTGTCTCCTTGTGGCAGGGGAGTTAAGGGCGAGGCTGCAGTTTAAGAAGAGCATCAACCCCTTCCCCCGCCCCTGCCAGTGTGGAGCCGAGAAGGGAGGAAGGAGCCCTCGCTGGTTTGCTGGCACATTTTCAGTTGGAAGTAAGACAAAAGTGGTCAGAGAACAGACCCCTCCCAGTGGTGACCGAGAGCTAGGGCCCTCCAAACAGCACAGGATTCTAACTCATGGCTGGGTTTTTGTAGGCTGTTCCCACCTCTCCCGCCTGCTGTACCAGTTAAGTGTAAATTCACCCACAAGGGGACAGAGCCTGTCACCCCACACTGAGGACAGCTCTCTCTGGGAGCAGGAACAAGTTGCTGGGTACTCTTGCTTGCATCTACTCCTGGGTCCAGCTTTTCAGGGGCAGGACAGGGGTGGGAGTGGAGGGTGGGGGGTAGGGACTTGGCAGGGGGACGTCAGTAGGGGCAGGTGCACCATGGCATGGAAGGGCAGACCAACTTCTCTTCTTCCCACTTTGGAGCTGGAAACTTCCTCTCTGGCCATGTAGGGGACAGCTAACTGAGGTGGCTGCCCCCGCTGACCTGCTCCTGGCCAGCCCTGACACTCACACCAACTGGAGAGCACAGCAAGGGCTGACCCTGCCCTTCATGCCAGCCAGGAACAAAATGGCCCACTTATTTTCATCACTCTCAGCGTTCCCAAAAATGGGCTATGGGTGCCCCAATGTGAAGGTCATAGGCTCGTCCACCTCTGCCAATGGTGCTCCCCCTGCACACACATACACTCATAGAACTGTCCAGAGGCCTCCCCTGCAGAGCATGCTGGGCCCAGCACCAAGAGACCACCCAGATGGGACTCCAGGAGCAGGCTTAGGATCCCCACTCCAACCTGGGGGTGCTGAGTCCCTGGTGGCCCCCTGGAGTCGTCCTTCATACCCTCAGAGCCCCCGACTTTCCGCTCCTCTGGGCTGGTGGGAGAAGAGCAAGGCCAGGGATGGGCTCACACAGATGGAAGTCTTCCCAGCAGGTGCCTGCCATGGCTGCAGTGCCCGCCCCAGGAGACATCACCCCTCCTCCTGCGGTCCTCACCTCCAACCCTCCCCAAGCCCTGTGGGTAATGAGACACCATGACAAGAACCTCTGTGTAACAGGTGGAGAACCAGAGCTTCAGACAAGTAAGGTGCATTAGCCCAACACTGGGGAGGGCTGGGACAGAGGGTGGGCGCCCATCCCAGGGAGGCCGGCCCGGCTTCTTCCTCTCTTTTAGCCCCTGCCCTCCAGCCCCAGCCAGCATGGACACTTTTGCAATAATAGCACTTCATGGATGTCAGCCGTGAAGAGGGGACCCCAGCTGTGGGAGCCCCCCGCCCCTCCCTACCACTCACACAACATAGAGGCACCTCAGCCCTCACCAAGGACCGCCCCCTCCCCCCAAAAATACAGAAAAGACCTAGTTTTTCCTGTAGCCTGCAGGGTTCTGAACCTTCCATGCTGAACCCAGGGCCCTTGGAGGCACCTGGCCGCCTGGCCACACCAGCTGAGCTCTGGCTCGGGGCTGTGGCTTGCTGTCCACAGCTGCACCCCTCGCCCTCTCTCTCCAGACTCCAGGCTCTGCACTTGCTCTGACGGCTGTCACAAGACTCCCAGCAAGCTTTGAGCAGTGCTGGGCAGCAACAGGAGCCCAGTGGTCCCGGCCGATAGATGAGACTGGAGACAAGTGGCCCTGGCTCTGTCCCCTAAGCCACCATAAGCACGTGGCTTTGCACAACTCTTCTGCCTGAGGCTCGGTGTCCTGCCATCCCAGGTCCATCTGAGAGCTCCCCGCCTGGCTCACAGCAGGTGCTCTCTCCCCCTCCACCCCCTCTGAGGCCCCTGCCCCTGAAGCCGTGGAAACCCAAGTAAGTGGGATGCAGGGACAGCTCCACCCAGAGGGCAGGGGCAGCTACCTGACAGTCCTCTTGTCTTGGCAGTCCAGGGGGCTTAGGGGTAGGTGCTGTGGTCTGAGCATGGAAGAAAATAAATCCACACTGCCTTTCTCTTCCAAAGGAGAAAGAGGGTCTGCTGGGAGCCCTGGGCACTCTGGGCCAGGGGGTTACTGTCACCCTGGGCAGTTTCTGGGCATGCGCAGACAAAGCTGCCCAAACTGAAGATAGGGGTGTGGTGTCTGACAGTCCTTGTAGGAGTGCCCTTGGCCATTTGGGAAGTGAACCAGCAATAGGTCTTTCCCTCCCCCCCCCCCAACTCTGCCTTTTGCATAAGTAAATCTTTAAAATTTTTAAATTTAAATTTAAAAAAAATTTTTTAAATAGAGTTCCCTTGGATGATGAGAACCAATGCAGATGGGCATGGAAGCCTTCGCATTTCACAGTGGGAGGGGGAGACCTCAGGCCCTAGAGGGGCAGAACAGTCCAAAAATCCTCCAGCTGCTTTAAAGCTTCAAATCAGTGCTGTGGGAGCAGGTGTTCAGCCTAGCAGCGCAGCCTGGCTGCCTGGGTTCAAGACCCAGCTCTGCTCCCAATTCCAGCTTCCTGCTAATGGAGACCCTGGGAGGCAGCGGCTGACGGCTTAAGTAGTTGGGCCCCCGCCACTTGCCTGAGAGACCTGGATGGAGTTCCTAGCTCCTGGCTTCCATCTGGTCCAGCCCCAGCCATTGTGGGTTTTTGGGGAGGGAACTAGAGAACAGATGCATTTTCTCTCACTCTCATTCATTCATTCACATTCTCTCTCATTCATTCTCTCTCTCTCATACATTTAAAAAAAGGAAAAGGAGGGGTGCGATGCATCTACATTAGGAGGCGGCAGTGGGAAAAGTCACAGGGGAATACATGAGCTTGAGGCTAGGAGAAGCCCAGAGTGCAAATGAATGGACGGTCCAGTTACTGATCAGCCGCCGCCTCTGCCTCCGCCTCCTCCGCCGCTGCCTCCTCCTTCTCTTTCTCTTTCTCCTCCTCCTCCTGCTCCTCTTTGTTGCAGGAGCCCCGAGACCATGACCTCAGGCTCCCCTCTCCGGCTGGCTCCACGCACCACTGCTCTGCCAAGAGGCACTGTGCCAGCTGCTCCAGGTCCTGCAGGCTCACCCTCTGCAGGCGCCCCTCGTGCTCCTGCCTCAGCAGCTGCAGCACGGCCTTGGCATCCTGCGGCCCAAAGTGTCTGGCCAGGACCCGGTCCAGCTGGTGCCACAGGGGCTGGGCCTGGGCCTGGGCCTGCTGGGCTGTCTCCAGTGTGGTCGTCTCCAAGGGTCGCACAATGACGTTGATGGAGGCATTGGGCCCGATGCAGTAGTCGGAGAGGCACTTGTCATCAGCCAGGAGCTGGCCGCGGAAAAGCAGGTGCTGCTGCTCCTCGGGCACCTGCAGCTGCTGCGACACCAGCTTCTTCAGCGTGGCCACACTCTCTTGCCCCGACACCTTCACGCTACATCTCCGGCCCAGCAGCAGCTTGACCGTGAGGATCATCGGGCCAAGGGGGCAGTCAGGAGGGATCCATGCTCTGGGAGCTCCCTGAAGATCAAGGGGCCCCGCAGGAGTGGCTGACTTCTCCCTGTCGACAGAGGGCCACGGTCCCAGGAGGCCAAGGGCCAGGCCTGGTGCAGAGCCATTGGCTACTGCTCAGTGATGTCATAATGCCGTGGGAGGGCTCATCTCCAGAAAGGAACGGTCGGGGTGGCAGGGGGGCATGTGGGGCCGAGAGCATCATTTCTTTGAGAGGAGAAAGGAGGGCGAAAGAGAGGAAGGGGGGCCAGGAAAGAAAATGCAGGGCTAAGGAAGAGTGGAGAGAGGGGACACGAGGACTGGACACGTCAGGCCTGTGGGCTCAGCAATGCCAAGTACCAAACAGCGCCCCCACTGTGCCAGGACCTGCACCTGCAGGGACAGTAGTGTCAAAATGGACACCTTCGGCCTCCGGGACGCTTTCAGACCGCCTGACCTGACCGAGCGACTTCTGTCTGTTGGCCACTTGTCCCTGAGACAGGGATCAGAGTGTGAAATTCAAAAAGTCCGTGGAAAATGGAAGGAAAAGATAAGTTTATTTTACCAGAGAGCTGTTTTGAAATCCTCTCATACTCAAGTAGGCGGGAGGCAGTTCCAGGATTCACCAGTAGGAGGTGGAGGAGAGAAAGGACAGGAAGGAAGGGACCCAGCGGGAGCTCAAGGAGCCCACGAATAGCCGCCCTCCCTGACATCCTGCTGGGAGCTCAGGAGGCTGCGTGGGAGACCCCTGAGCTGGGCCCCTGAGATGCCAGGAGACGGCTCTTCCTGCTCCGGCTCCAGTGTCCGAGGGCCAGTCCTGGGCTCGCTGGCCCGCGGGTGTGCAGAGCATGCTTCTGCGACCTCAGAGATCTGCAGGTGCCTGCAGCAAGAAGCCCCGAGGCCTTCAGGGATGGAGCTTGCAGGGGGAGAGGGCAGGGCCTGGGCTGTGGCTCCAGCTCATCTCTTGCCCAGCCCCTCCACCCTGGGGCCATTCATGCCGAGGCCAGGGGAATCTTCCTAAAGTAAAGGCAAGGCCAGCAATCCAGGTCACTCTCCTTTGTTTTTGGAATGAGAGCAGCCTCCCTGGCCTGGCCCCCTGCCTGCACCCCAGCCTCAGCTCTCCCCACTTTCAGCCTCCATTCCTGCCACATCCACCTGCCCTTTCCTTTACTTGCTGTCCCATCCCAACCCGTCCTTCAAAACTCTGCTGTAACACCGCATCCTCCAGGAAGCCTGTCTCTGCTTTCCCCAGGCCTGGGCAGAGACAATCCAACCCCCTCCGTGTAAGCATGGCTCCCCTGGAACATACCTGTGCTGATGCACCTGTTTCAATTCTGCATCTCCCTCGCCAGTTCCGGGAGGGCGGGGCTGCGCCTCACCCATCTTCCCATCCCCTGCCTCCAGCAGTGCACAGAAGGCCTTGAAACATGAAGACAAAATTCAGAGACATTGCCGGCCTGCAGGGCCCAGTACAGCAGGCCGTGCAAAGAAAGACATCAGCCTGCAGCCTCTCCTTGCCGCTGCCTTCTCCCCTAGAGATGGGAAAAGCTGAAATTATGTAAAAAAATAAATCATAGCATGATTCCAGTCTTTACCAAGAGATCTTCTGTAGTAGTTCTTTCAACAGCCAACTCCCCCGGTGCATCTGAAATATGGAATTTGCAAATACACACACAGGGGCTGGAGGACCAGCAGACTCAATGATGATGACGGCAGGGCATCCAGGCGGAGTGAGCTGGGGGTGGATGAGGCTTCTCCCTCACTATCTGGGAGCTCTCAGTCCCTGGAAGACAGGACCCCTGTGCTGGCCAAACCATCAGATGGGATGGGATGGGGGCCATATCATCCAGGAACTGCCCAGAGCAGAGTTAATCCAGGAAGGCTGCCTGGAGGGCTAAGGTTTGAATCGCTGTCTGCAGGTGGCAAAAGGAAGATAAACCTGGAACCAGAGTGGCCTGTAATCTCTCCTCCAAGCTATGGAGTGTCTGAGGAAGGGGCAGGTGCCAGAGTTTGCAGCTTGCAGGGTGATGCCTGCCTCCAGCCCCTCCCCCTCAGTCCCACCTACCCAGCTGGGCAGAGAGTGACTGGAGAAGCCCTGGGCTTCCAGAAGAACAGAAGAGCTCTAGCCCAGGCCCTGCCTCTCGTGCAGGCAGGTGCCCTGGGAGAGGGGTTTTGAGGGCCATACCCTCCAAATCAAGCTACTTGGTCTGGACAGGCCCAGCATCCCAGTGGACCACAAAGAGAGCAGCTTCCGAATTCGTGGTGTCAGGAGAGGCTCAGGGAGACGGTCATCACCCAACCCCTGCGCCTGTGCCCTGGAGGCCCCCTTGCCCTCCCCGAGAGGGTCGGAGGGGGCACCTTGCTGCACCCTCAAATCACATTTGGAGCTTGAAAAATGTCATAAGCTTTTCCAGGTAATCATTTGTCCTAAGGATGTAATTAATGTGAGAAAATACGGCTGTGTGATGAGAGCATGCAAACCACGAATAATGGGGGGAGGGGTGATGGGGGGGTTTGTGAGCTGAGGAAAAGGAATGAGCCTGTGAAGAGCTGTGGGCTCGGATCCTTCTGGAAAACAACTCCAAGCACAGTTAGGGTCACCAGGAAGTCTGGCAGGGAAGATGGGTGCGACACGGAGGGTGCCTGGGGACAGGTCTGTGAGCTCCAGGTCCATGAAGCCCCTTGGGGTGTTGCTGAAGGGGCTGGCTGAACATTTGTGCACCCCACAGGGCCCTTGACAGAGAACACATGCACGTCGATGCGGTGGGGACTGGCAGGTCCCCGGGCCTACGCCGGCCTCCCTGAGACCCCAATCAGCCTGCGTGGGTCACCAGGGACCCCTGCCCCTCACAGAAGGAGCTCTCGGGGCTGCCCAGGAAAGGAGGCCAGGCTGCTCTCCACAGTGCCTAGCACACAGTGGGTGCTCAGCATACAGATGAGCCCATTCCCTGCCCCTCGCCCACTGGCTGGCACTGGTCGGCTCAGCAGCTGCCTGTCCCATGGGTCTCGGGGACTGAGGCTGAAGTGCTGAGCTGGAGAAGTGATTCAGGGCAGGAGGCAGGCAGCAGGTCTTGGGACGCCACTTCAGCCCAGCTCCTGCCAGGCCTTGACCCTCGATCACACATCCTTGGCGCTGCCCTGCACTGCCATCCCTAGTAAAGTGACACACTGGCTGGGAGCTGCTGTAGCCTGCTGTGACCACTAGATGTCACTGGTGACCTCCTTGGCCAACTCCAGTGCCCATCACCAACCAAGCAGGCCTGGGGACCCAGCACAGAGCCCCACCCAGAGATAAGCCCTTTCCTCCAGCAGGCTGCCCTCCCCTCTTGGGTCACGCTGGGACACAGATGTCCATGCCCATCCTGGGCAGGGCACAGTAGGAGCTGCTCCCTCATTTGTAGAATAGAAGGGCTGGACTTGAACTCTGCCTTCTTGTACTAGGGCTCTGGGCACAGGCATGATGGCCCAGACAGAGGCTGATGGCCCAGGCTGGCCCTCATATGCAGCACCGTGAGGCCTTGGGCACCACATCAGGGGCAGACACCCACTGTGAGGAGAGTGACATGGCCGGGACAGGTTGCTACCAAGCAGTGTGCACATTATACAGACAGTTTTGTAAATATGGGGCTTAAAGCCAGTGGGGACCAGCCGGCTTCACAGAAACCTTCTTTCCTGGAGCCCTAATTTCTGAGTTAAACACATCACACCCTAAACCCCTGCACCGCACAGCACGGGAGTCCCCAGGGAGCACCCACGGCTACTGCTCCCTCTCTGACACACTGCTGGCCTGAGCTGGGCTCAGCCAAGCACTTCCTTCCCCGCCTCCCTCCGGGCCCCAGTGGGAGCAGCAGGACCCCTCCCAGTGCCATGCTGCCCAGAGTGAGTCCCTCCCTTCCTCGGTGCCTGCTCCAGTGGGTCCTGTGGGAGAGGCTGCCTATGGGCCACTACCTCATACGGGGATGCGTGGACCACCATGACCACAGGGCATCTCCTTGGCCCATCTGGATTCTGTACTGCGTCATTTCAGCTGGCAAAAAAGATCACTGGCTTTAGCCAGTGGCGGTGGTACTGTGACATCCGCTTAGACGTACTACACGTGCTGCCAACCTCCAGGCAGTAACTCATAAACTGTCAAGACTGGGATGCTGCAAGACGTGGCTCGGCAAAGAGGCCAACCAGGAGCACCAGGTACAAGGGAAGGCTCAGGTTCACCAGGCCCAGGGCTGGTTATTCACCTGCGCTTCATGTTTGCATTCCACAACTATCCCTTACACACTAAATAGGTGCCAAGTGTTTACACTGGACTTTGCCCTGCAAGATTTGCCACAAGCAAAGCCTAGGGCTCGGGCTGGAACTGGATTTGGTAGGTGGCATACCAGAGGTGCAGGTGGCACAGGGAGAGAAGACATTTTCTTCAGTCATAGGAAAAGGAGCAGGTGTAGACGTTCTGGGAAGGGACCTGAAACAGAATCTGCCTCTACCTCCGCGTCCTTCAGTCCAGGCTAAAGCTACGGAAATGCTTCCTGCAGGCCAGACTAAGAAAGTCCTCCAGGAGGCTGTGGGCAGCACCAGCACTGATTGGGTCAGAGGCCTGGGGAAGGGTCTTTGGAGCCACACAGGAACTGCCTTGGGGCCAGGGATTGGAGGAGACAGCTGATGGGCCCTGGCAGCTGAGGCCACAGCCTGATAGGCTGCATGGAGACTATACAGCAGATGTAACATGTAACAAGATGCATCTTTGCTCCCAAAGAATGCTGGCACTGAAAGGGATGATCATTACTCTGACCAAGGGAGCTAATAAACTTGGACTTGACTTGGGCTTAGTTATCCCTAAATAGTGGGTAGGATGTAGGGCAGGATAGATTGCTCATCATTTTAGTATTTGACCTCCTGCTCTTCTAGATGGTGACACTAACAACAAGTATCCAGTCATTAGAAGATGCTGGAGTCAAAAGCCAAAGGGTGCTGGCTCTGTGGCACAGTGGGTTAAAGCCCCAGCCTGTCGTGCTGGCATCCTATATGGGCACCAATTCGAGTTCTGGCTGCTCCACTTCCAATCCAGCTCCCTGCTTATGTGCCTAGGAAACCAGCAGAGGATGACCAAAGCCCTTGT